CAACAACGGACTAAAGATGATCCTGTTGGGTTCAGAAGTCAGTTGAGATGCTTGAAGCTCTCAGATCCTGCAGGATTCGTCAGACTGGACCTCATGACGGTTGATGGGAACCAGTTTAGCTGCTGATTGTTTGTGCAAACCTTTCCCACCTGAAGGCCGGCCGTATTTTCCCAGCAGCCTCTGATCCCTGCAGGGGAAATGGCTGAGCTGTCACACCCTGCGTACTGTAAGCTAACCCTCACCAGCAAAATGCCGTCATTTGTGATAATTGGCCTCAGTGATTTTATTCCTGCGCAAATCGTCCATGTCTGTAATTTGTCAAGAAAAACATCCGTGTTAAATTATCCGAAGTACTTTCATTAGCAGAGCGGCATCGGATCGTCTCCGCCTGCCCGCCCGCCCACTCCTCTCAGCGCCCCGTGTTTGTCGGCGCTCCATCGCTGGAGCTACCTCTGAAGTTAATGAGCAGCAGGTTTTATGGGAGCAGCTGAGCTCGTTAACGGCTCCAAACATTCAGCTACTGAAACATTTTGTGACCCGCTGCTGGTTTAACTGGGCAGAGATGATCTTCTGCAGCTGAACAGCTTTAATTAGACAGAATGGACGAGCTGTTTGCTGTAACTGACCCCTGAGGACGAAAAAGGGGTTTCTGAAAAACACTTTACGGCTGATTTGGGTTCAGAAAAAAGATTTCCACTTAAGCTAAATAAAAACTTCTTGGTATCTGAGTTTTAAAGTGCATGAATTGAAGAGAAATGATCTCTGCAGGACCAGCATGCCAAGCAACAAAGGCATCAATCCTCAATTCTGATTTTTTTGTTTAATCCGATTCTGGGTGGTCGTTATTATTTCCAAATATATGCGACTTGCATGTGATCTCCTGTGTGAACTGCATTCATACAACTTTAGTCTGCCTCATGCGTAATAGAGGACGCAATGATGTCATAAGGGAGGGTGCTCTGTGTTTCAAAAGTAAACATGGATGGCAGCGATAAGCATGCTTGTAGCAACAGTGGAGAGGAAAAACTCCCTTTGAACAGGAAGAAACGTCCAGCAGAACCAGGCTCAGTGTGAGCGGCCATCTGCTGAGGCCCACTGGGGTTCAAGGAGACAGAAGCAGACATAGAAAAAGAAGCATAGATACAAAAGGTAACTGTCAACCAGCTCCACAGGCGGCCCCGTCCAGGAAACACACAGCCAGGCAGACGAGCTCCGAGCCAGCTCCCATGTCAGAGGCTGAAGAGAGCACATCCAGTTAGTCACAGTCAGAGAAACAGGACTACACTGGAAAACAGGCCAAGCTCCAACATCTAGGAACAAAGGTGTTGATGGCAGCAGCACAGCTGATATTTCTCTCCAGGATGGAGTCACAGCCAAACAGGAACAGACCAGATGAAGCTACTATGAGAAAAAGCAGAGAGAGCAGAACGTTAGAGATTGAACTAACAGATTCTGCAGAATGGGAGAATAGAGATAGAATGAAGCAGAATGATGAAAAAGGGGTCCCTATGTCCTCCAGCAGTCTAAGCCTATAGCAGCAGAACTATAGAGATAGATCAGGATAACCTGAGCCACTCTAACTAGAAGCTTTATCAAAAAGGAAAGTTTTAAGCCTAGCCTTAAAAGTAGACAGGGTGTCTGCCTCACGGACTAAAACTGGTAGTTGGTTCCACAGGAGAGGAACCTGATAACTAAAAGATCTGCCTCCCATTCTACTTTTAGAAATTCTAGGAACCACTAGTAAACCTGCAGATTGAGAGCGAAGTGCTCTGTTAGGAACGGAGGTACTTCAACACATCACACCAATCACCTTTGATCTAACAAGCCAAAAAAGCTTTGTTTACATTTGTTACACTTTTAGCGGCACTGATTCAGGTGGATGAAATAACCCAATCAATAAGGCACACTTAATACATTCCTGTTTCCTTACACGTTGCTCTCCATTGTTTACTTTCCTGATTACTGTCACACTGGTGACATCATCAACGCTAACCCAGCGTGTTGGTGTCACCAGACATGCAGAAACAGGGGGACTGAGGCCACACAGATTGCCATTTCTCAAACCCAGCTTTCTGTGCCAAGTGGAAAGGAGCAAATAATGATTGTTAGCGCGTTAACTCACGTTTGAAAAACTTGCATTAACCTGCTAATTAGAGTAAGAAAGGGGCTCCTATTGACTTAATTATGGTGGCCATAATGGGGGCCATGACTGCCACTGTGATAAGGGACATGATGGATTCTATGATGGAAACTATTAATGACGCCATGATTGGGGCTGTAATGGGTGTCATGATGAGTTTCATTTTTGAGGCCATGCTGAGATTCATGATGGTGGCCATGATTGGGACAATGGTGGGGGGGGCCATGATTGGGACAATGGTGTGTGTGTGTGGGGGGGGGGGGCATGATTGGGACCATGGTGGGGGGGCCATGATTGGGACCATGGTGGGTGTGTGGGGGGGGGAGGGGGTTGGGCATGATTGGGACCATGGTGGGGGGGCCATGATTGGGACCATGGTGTGTGTGTGTGGGGGGGAGGGGGTTGGGCATGATTGGGACCATGGTGGGGGGGCCATGATTGGGACAATGGTGTATGTGTGGGGGGGGAGGGGGTTGGGCATGATTGGGACCATGGTGGGGGGGCCATGATTGGGACCATGATGGGGGGGCCATGATTGGGACAATGGTGGGGGGGCCATGATTGGGACAATGGTGTATGTATGGGGGGGGAGGGGGTTGGGCATGATTGGGACCATGGTGGGGGGGCCATGATTGGGACCATGATGGGGGGGGCCATGATTGGGACAATGGTGGGGGGGCCATGATTGGGACAATGGTGTATGTATGGGGGGGGAGGGGGTTGGGCATGATTGGGACAATGGTGGGGGGGGCCATGATTGGGACAATGGTGTGTGTGTGTGGGGGGGGGGCATGATTGGGACCATGGTGGGGGGGCCATGATTGGGACCATGGTGTGTGTGTGGGGGGGGGAGGGGGTTGGGCATGATTGGGACCATGGTGTGTGTGTGGGGGGGGGAGGGGGTTGGGCATGATTGGGACCATGGTGGGGGGGGCCATGATTGGGACCATGATGGGGGGGCCATGATTGGGACAATGGTGGGGGGGGCATGATTGGGAGCCGGGGGGGGCGTGATGAATTCAATGATTTGGGCTGATTGGGCCATAATGGAGGCCATGATGAGTTCATTGCAGGTAACCAAGTTGGATGCAGTGATGGAGGACATGATTGGGGCCATAATGGGGCACCATGATTGGTGCTATGACAGGGGGCGATGATGAATTCCATGGGAGGGGGTCATGATTGAGGCCATAATGGGGAAATGATAAGTTTCATGTTTGGGGCCTTAATGGGGGGATGAGGAGTTTCATGTTGGGGGCTATGATTGGGGCCATGGTGGGGGGTATGATTGGTGCTATGATAGGTGGTGATGATGAATTCCATGGTAGGGTGTCATGATTAGGGCCATCATGGGAACCATGATCATTTCATTGGTGGTGGCCATGATTGGGGCCATTATGGGGGCCATAATGGGGGCCATGAGGAGTTTCATGTTAGGGGCCATGATTGGGGCCATTATGGGGGCGATGAGGAGTTCATTGCTGGTAGCCAAGTTGGATGCAGTGATTGGGGCCATGATGGGGGCCATAATGGGGGCCATGAGGAGTTTCATGTTAGGGGCCATGATGGGGGCCATAATGGGGGCCATGAGGAGTTTCATGTTAGGGGCCATGATTGGGGCCATTATGGGGGCGATGAGGAGTTAATTGCTGGTAGCCAAGTTGGATGCAGTGATTGGGGCCATGATGGGGGCCATAATGGGGGCCATGAGGAGTTTCATGTTAGGGGCCATGATGGGGGCCATAATGGGGGCCATGAGGAGTTTCATGTTAGGGGCCATGATTGGGGCCATTATGGGGGCGATGAGGAGTTCATTGCTGGTAGCCAAGTTGGATGCATTGATTGGGGCCATAATGGGAGCCATGAGGAGTTTCATGTTAAGCGCCATTATTGGGGCTGTAATGGGGGCCATGAGGAGTTTCATATTGGGAGCCATGATTGGGGCCATTATGGAGGCCATGATGAATTTCATGTTTGGGGCCATGATTGGGGCCGTAATGGGGACCATGATGAGTTTCATATTGGGAGCCATGATTGGGGCCATTATGGAGGCCATGAGGAGTTTCATGTTAGGGGCCATGATTGGGGCCGTAATGGGAGCCATGATGAGTTTCATGTTTGGGGCCAAGATGGATGCAGTGATGGGGGCATGATTGGGGCCATAATGGGAGCCATGAGGAGTTTCATGTTAAGCGCCATTATTGGGACTGTAATGGGGGCCATGAGGAGTTTCATATTGGGAGCCATGATTGGGGCCATTATGGAGGCCATGAGGAGTTTCATGTTTGGGGCCAAGATGGATGCAGTGATGGGGGCATGAATAACGCTGTGATGAAGGCTATTCTGAGTGCCATGATGGTGGCCATCATGGCCACCATCATGCAGCCACGTCAGTCACACTGAAGGCTTTTATGAAGGGAAACCACCCAGCTGCAGCCATCCTTCGAGATCTAAATACACCCTCGACATTCTGTCTTTCAGTTTATCTGAGGGCCAGTAAAAACCGCTGCTTCTCAGTAACGTCTAACTTTAATCTAGGCTGACAGTAAATCTCTGACCTCTTGATGTGTTATTGTCGAGGCAGAACAATTTAATCTGTGATTCATTTCAAAGCCGTCCTGTCATTACTGCTATTTATACAGAGTTATCTGCTTACAACATCTGATGCTAAACTTGCCTTAAAACCAAGTCTGAACACAAGGTCTAATCACCGACATCGTAAAGCGGTTTAAACTGGTTTCTATTCCCACAACAGCAGCCTGCACTTTCCTCTCCGTCATTCTCAGAATAAGAACAGTTTTATCCATGTTTCTTCCCAACAACCGCACACAAATATCCATGCATGACCTCATCCACGCAGCTAGGCTGACAGGTCTGGCTGCTGTTTGTTGGGGTTTCCTGGTGAGTGTTGGAAGCCACGGCGCGCGTAGAGGGAAGGTTTATGGGCGAGCTCGGCCTGAATGATGGAGGCTTCTGGCTCTCTGTTGCAGCACTGAGTCATCGTGTAGCTCTGTGGGAAACGGACGTTTCCACTGAGGAGGACAGTAGACAAAACCTAACCTTTGTTCATCAGTCTGCAGCAGCTTGATTCTTCCTGCTGCTGTGTTTGGGTTCAGGGTTCTGTTCATGACCCACTTTAAACCCATTGTTTTACATTTCTATTCAATGTCCATCCAGGTTGGATGCCATATTAATGTTGTGATTAAATGTTAGATACAATTCTCAGCCATCTGGGAATTTATATTTCTGATACTTTAATATGGGGTAAAATATCTTATTTAATCAGATATTATTTCAGCTGTTATATATTGTTTATGACACATGCCCCACTATCTGTGTGTTAGAACAATAAATGAAAGAGTGATTCGAGCACTAATCATGTCAGTCCATCCTATTAGCTTTGAATTTACTCATCAATAAACACATAAAATGATTAAAATCATCAACAGACATAATGTTAGTTCTGTCCCTAATTGTGCCAGACCTGCAAACCTCTGTCCACTCTCTGAACCTGCTGGGATGTTCGTTCCCAGGAAAACTGATGCTACATTCATATCGCAAGCAGCAGAAGCGGCTAGTCTACATGCTAGGTCAATGATTGATGCGCATCAAGGTGCAGCAAAAGGTCCCCAGTGGGTTTTGAGCGCTTCAGAAGCAGCAGCTGCTGGAGTTGAAAAAATGTAACTAGATGCTGGACGCGCCGCATCAACCAATCAGAGGAGCTGATCTGGGAGCTGGCAGGGAGTCAGACACAGCACTGCTGATGCAGAGCGCTATGATCACTCCTCTGAAACAGTTTATTAACGCCTAAATTAACTTCAAATGTAGTAATCTGGATGAACTGACTGCACAGACCATGTTTTCAGGAGGACTTTCTCACTTCAACATAGATTCAAACTACTTTCTACCCGCTGATCACAGCTAATATAGCTGCCATTGTTCCAGGCAGAGAAAGGATAGGGTAACTCCGCCCACCACGCATCAGAACCACTTTTCCACCACGCAGCCAGGGCAGCAAAGATGCTTCAGCCGAGCGTCAGAACTAAACTGGTACAAGCATCAGGATGATGTATTCAGGTGGGGTTACGAATCTGATCTTTTCAAATGCGACCTGCGTCATTAATACCCGACAAAGGTCACTATTATGCGTCCTGCTACGCAGAAGCGGCAAGAAAAACAACAACCGTGACAGATGATGATGCGGAGAGCAGTATTTATGTTTAACAATATTGAAAAAAATTTGTTTTTATGGTTGGAAAAGACCGATAGATGCGCGCCGGCACTACCATGTTTACTTCCGGAAAAAAAGAGCAGGCTGGCCTGTGACATACAAGTCGCACATACACTCACCGGCCACTTTATTAGGTACACCCGTCCAACTGCTCTATAACACTTAATTTCTAAGCAGCCAATCACATGGCGGCAACTCAGTGCATTTAGGCATGTAGACATGGTCAAGACAATCTCCTGCAGTTCAAAGCGAGCATCAGTATGGGGAAGAAAGGTGATTTGAGTGACTTTGAACGTGGCATGATTGTTGGTGCCAGAAGGACTGGTCTGAGTATTTCAGAAACTGCTGATCTACTGGGATTTTCACGCACAACCATCTCTAGGGTTTACAGAGAATGGTCCGAAAAAGAAAAAACATCCAGTGAGCGGCAGTTCTGTGGGCGGAAATGCCTTGTTGATGCCAGAGGTCAGAGGAGAATGGCCAGACTGGTTGGAGCTGATAGAAGGGCAACAGTGACTCAAATAACCACCCGTTACAACCAAGGTGGGCAGAAGAGCATCTCTGAACGCACAGTACGTCGAACTTTGAGGCAGATGGGCTACAGCAGCAGAAGACCACACCGGGTGCCACTCCTTTCAGCTAAGAACAGGAAACTGAGGCTACAATTTGCACAAGCTCATGGAAATTGGACAATAGAAGATTGGAAAAACGTTGCTGGTCTGATGAGTCTCGATTTCTGCTGCGACATTCGGATGGTAGGGTCAGAATTTGGCGTCTACAACATGAAAGCATGGATCCATCCTGCCTTGTATCAACGGTTCAGGCTGGTGGTGGTGGTGTCATGGTGTGGGGAATATTTTCTTGGCACTCTTTGGGCCCCTTGGTACCAATTGAGCATCGTTGCAACGCCACAGCCTACCTGAGTATTGTTGCTGACCATGTCCATCCCTTTATGACCACAATGTACCCAACTTCTGATGGCTACTTTCAGCAGGATAATGCGCCATGTCATAAAGCTGAAATCATCTCAGACTGGTTTCTTGAACATGACAATGAGTTCACTGTACTCAAATGGCCTCCACAGTCACCAGATCTCAATCCAATAGAGCATCTTTGGGATGTGGTGGAACGGGAGATTCGCATCATGGATGTGCAGCCGACAAATCTGCGGCAACTGTGTGATGCCATCATGTCAATATGGACCAAACCCCCTGAGGAATGCTTCCAGCACCTTGTTGAATCTATGCCACCAAGAATTGAGGCAGTTCTGAAGGCAAAAGGGGGTCCAACCCGTTACTAGCATGGGGTACCTAATAAAGTGGCCGGTGAGTGTATTTTGAAATATGAACGGCAACAACAAAAAATCGGATTTTGCAAAAAAATCAGAATTGAGATTCGAGGCCTGCAGTGTGAACGTAGCCTTAGATGACATGATGTGAATTGGCGCTACTTGGGTCTTGCTCAGGGAGCCAGGGTGCAGGTAGTGGGGATCAAACTGGGAGCTTGCAACGCTCTCGGAGCAGAAGCAAAGTGAATCCAGTAGAACTTTTTATTGCCTACCTGGAATGGGGGACAATAGTTAAATAGGTTTTTGTCTAACTTTTGGTCTAATGACCGATGAAGTTTTACCTGAAAACCGAAAAAATCTGTTTCTGGTGAACAAAGCAACTGTTAGGCCATGATATAAAGAGCTAGGTAGCGCTGTGGCTAGCTGCGCTCAGTAGCTAACAGGTTAGCATCTTTTAGCTAATTTCCTTTTTCATTTTTTTTCATTTATTTTGAAATATATGATTTAACAATATTTACATTGAATGCTTCATAAACATCAGGTTTCAAAAAGGAGGATGAAGCATAAGCTTATTAGGCCCTCCCCCTCAGTTACATGTGTCATGGTGGTAAAGGACAATTATTTATTATTTATAGTCGCTCAGTTAGCCACATTAAGCTACACTACTTTTAACTTTGTGTAGAAAACAACTGTTGGTTTTCTACAAGTGGAATAAATGTTTTATTGGTCTAAAATCTCTATGAAAGTCATTTTTAAGATGTTCCATTTGTCCTCCTCTGTCCTCAGATCTTAATAAAAAGAATAAAAATAAACGGAGAATTTTTTTTATCTCCTTATTAAATAGCAGAGCTCAGTCTGTCTTAGACGGCAGTGCTTTCCTTCAAGACTGATAATGACTGTTTTCGAATTTCGGCTACTTTAGATCGCTGGTTAATTGTAAAATAATAGTAAATATAGGTAGCCTAATAATATTCCAGAATACATTTGATCTTTAAAAAACGGATGCAATACAGTTTGTCCGAGAGGAATTGCCATATCATGACGTAGAAGAAGGGGCGGGGCTCCCCTCCTGTTGGTGGCGGCTGGAAGTAGATGTTAGCGTTTTTCAGGTCTGTGCTACAAACTGCAGGCAGCAGGATAATAAAAGCCAACATATTCTGCCGGCAGGTTTCTACATTTGAAGTTAATTTAGGCGTTAATAAACTGTTTCAGAGGAGTGATCATAGCGCTCTGCATCAGCAGTGCTGCGTCTGACTCCCTGCCAGCTCCCAGATCAGCTCGTCAACCATTGACTTTGCATGGAAACCAGCTGCAGAGAAGAAAAAGCGACACATGTTCTTGGTGTACATCCTTCAGAATTTAATAGTGAAGCCTAAAACAAAGAATACAGTAAAATAAATAAGATTTAAAAAAAAAAGACACAAACACGTTTCATTTGTACAAGAAAGCAAAGCAACATATTGGAGTCTGGCTTTCCATATATACAGAATAAAAAATATACCTTTTATTCTTTGTCCACTTTGTTCAGTGTTGGTATTTATATTATTTGTATTTTATTTTATATAAAAAAAGAACAGAATCTAAACACATACATTTTTTTTAACAGCTTTAAGCTTTGTTTTTTTAGGCTTTTTGTTTAGTTGTAGTTTTATTTGTGACAGAAGGAGGACTCTGGGTCCAGAAGAAGAGGCTTTGCTCTCCGTTTAAACACTGATGGCAGGAAAAACAAATAAAAATAAAACATGAAACCAGGCAGAAACACTGATGGTCGACATTCACAAACATCCTTTTCCTCGTCCTTTCAAAGGGTCCAAGAGCAAATGAAAGAGTAAAGCATTGTGGGAAAATGAGATTAAAAATTTTTCATGTGCAGAAACAGAAGAGACAAAATAAAAAACAACTTTAAAAAGACAAATGAAACAGTCTTTGAGCTTTTTCTACAATCCCTGAACCAGATACTGATTCAGCAGAGTTTTACAACATGTTACAGTTTAACCAAAGTGTCTGGAATTAGTTTTAACTCTGACTACTTTCCATTGTTGTAAGTTAGGAGGAACGAACGCTGCTCAGGCAGAACAGGGCTGATTACCGTAATAAGGGCAGTATGATGAACTGTTCTCTCTTTGCAAAGATTTAAAAATAAAGTGCTGACTGAGTGAAATCCATTGATTGCTGTTTTTTTTTAACTAAGCAAATAGTTGAATATTTTTTTCCCGCTACAATTTGGCGTTGTCGGCAGGATTCTACTAAGACTGATTTTTTCTGAGGACAGCGATTGTCAGAAGCCATTTAGCAGTTTAACGGAGTGAGGACTTCTGGCATCGAGGTCCCTGCAGGTCAGCGGGAGGATCAAAACCAAACATTTCTTTTTTGAGACGGTGAGAGGAATCCTCTGCCGGCACAGTTTGAGAGAAAAAAAAAAAAAAACAGATTGTTAACAGATCTAAAGATGATTAGAAATCAAATACTGGAAAATTAGTTTAAAAAAAAGGAAAAGTTTTCAATCATTTGAGTGTAAATAAATAATCCTTCAGGTTTTCTTGATAAACGGTTCAGTTTTCTTTTGCTTGACCAGAAAGCAGATTTCCTCATTCCTTCAATCCATAACCTATTAATAATCAGCATTAATCAATGACCAACCCTGAAATCTATTTAATAAATTCCACTTTATTTGTTTGGATAGAAATGTGATAATTCCAGGATTAGAGTTTGGCGCCTTTAATTAAAGAGAAAGCTTTACATCTGAATTGATCTCGGTTCTTTAGAACCAAACGTGAATCAGACCCGTTTGCCTTCAGATTATCTCTGCATCGAAATATATTAATTATGCTGATCAGGACAAGGTTTCCCTATTTAACATTCTCAGAGCAGAGCATCCATCCCTGCAGGAATTAATCTTTTTCATCTCTAAGCGGTGGCTAATTTATGATTGGTGCTTCAGCTTCTTATTGGCTGAATCATTCGGGTTATTAACTTGGTCCCATCAGAACCGCAATGAAAAGGTGTCTCCGTCTGAAGGTTTGGTCTCACTGTTTGATTCATTAAAGTTCAGTAACTTTAAGAACTGAAACTAATTTGACAGAAACAAACAGAAACTGATGTTTTCTTACTAGTAGAAGGAGTTTTATTTCTATCTGCAGTACATTTAGATTAAAAGATTTAGGTTTTCTGCTCTGATCCTGCAGAAAGACTGACTGAACTCCAGCTGGTTTCTGTGGACCAACAGTATCCTGTTAACTAGCTTAGCATCCATCTACTGAAGGAATCTTTATCAAGAAGCTGCAGGTTTTAAGCACTAGGAACCTTAAAATGGTGAAAGGGGACATTTCTGGACTTTGTTTCCCCATGGGGCCGTTTCCCCGTGGGACCGTTTCCCTGTGGGACCGTTTCCCCGTAGGGACCGTTTCCCTGTGGGACCGTATCCCTGTGGGACCGTTTCCCTGTGGGACCGTTTCCCCGTAGGGACCGTTTCCCCGTAGGGACCGTTTCCCCGTGGAACCGTTTCCTTGTGGGACCGTTTCCCTGTGGGACCGTTTCCCTGTGGGACCGTTTCCCCGTGGAACCGTTTCCTTGTGGGACCGTTTCCCTGTGGGACCGTTTCGCCGTGGGACCGTTTCCCCGTGGGACCGTTTCGCCGTGGGACCGTTTCCCCGTGGGACCGTTTCCCCGTGGAACCGTTTCCCCGTGGGACCGTTTCCCCGTGGGACCGTTTCCCCGTGGAACCGTTTCCCAGTGGAACCGTTTCCCCGTGGGACCGTTTCCCCGTGGAACCGTTTCCTTGTGGGACCGTTTCCCTGTGGGACCGTTTCCCTGTGGGACCGTTTGAATGTTGGACCGTTTCCCTGTGGGACCGTTTCCCCGGGGGACCGTTTCCCTGTGGGACCGTTCCCCCGGGGGACCGTTTCCCTGTGGGACCGTTTCCCCGGGGGACCGTTTCCCTGTGGGACTGTTTCCTTGTGGGACAGTTTCCCTGTGGGACCGTTTCCCTGTGGGACCGTTTCCCTGTGGAACCGTTTCCCCGGGGGACCGTTTCCCCGTGGGACCGTTTCCCCGTGGGACCGTTTCCACGTGGAACCGTTTCCACGTGGAACCGTTTCCCTGTGGGACTGTTTCCCTGTGGGACCGTTTCCACGTGGAACCGTTTCCCTGTGGGACTGTTTCCCCGTGGGACCGTTTCCCCGTGGGACCGTTTCCCCGTGGAACCGTTTCCCCGTGGAACCGTTTCCCCGTGGGACTGTTTCCCCGTGGGACCGTTTCCCAGTGGAACCGTTTCCCTGTGGGACCGTTTCCTTGTGGGACAGTTTCCCTGTGGGACCGTTTCCCTGTGGGACCGTTTCCCCGTGGGACCGTTTCCACGTGGAACCGTTTCCCTGTGGGACCGTTTCCCCGTGGGACCGTTTCCCCGTGGGACCGTTTCCCCGTGGAACCGTTTCCCTGTGGGACCGTTTCCTTGTGGGACAGTTTCCCTGTGGGACCGTTTCCCTGTGGGACCGTTTCCCTGTGGAACCGTTTCCCCGTGGAACCGTTTCCCTGTGGGACCGTTTCCTTGTGGGACAGTTTCCCTGTGGGACCGTTTCCCTGTGGGACCGTTTCCCCGTGGGACCGTTTCCCCGTGGAGCCGTTTCCCCGTGGAACCGTTTCCCTGTGGGACCGTTTCCCGTGGGACCGTTTCCCTGTGGAACCGTTTCCCCGTGGAACCGTTTCCCTGTGGGACCGTTTCCCCGTGGGACCGTTTCCCCGTGGAACTGTTTCCCCGTGGGACCGTTTCCCCGTGGGACCGTTTCCCCGTGGAACCGTTTCCCCGTGGAACCGTTTCCCTGTGGGACCGTTTCCTTGTGGGACAGTTTCCCTGTGGGACCGTTTCCCTGTGGGACCGTTTCCCCGTGGGACCGTTTCCACGTGGAACCGTTTCCCCGTGGAACCGTTTCCCCGTGGAACCGTTTCCCTGTGGGACCGTTTCCTTGTGGGACAGTTTCCCTGTGGGACCGTTTCCCTGTGGGACCGTTTCCCCGTGGGACCGTTTCCCCGTGGAACCGTTTCCCCGTGGAACCGTTTCCCCGGGGGACCGTTTCACTGTGGGACCGTTTCCCTGTGGAACCGTTTCCCCGTGGAACCGTTTCCCCGTGGAACCGTTTCCCTGTGGGACCGTTTCCTTGTGGGACAGTTTCCCTGTGGGACCGTTTCCCTGTGGGACCGTTTCCCCGTGGGACCGTTTCCCCGTGGAACCGTTTCCCCGTGGGACCGTTTCCCCGGGGGACCGTTTCACTGTGGGACCGTTTCCCCGTGGGACCGTTTCCCTGTGGGACCGTTTCCCTGTGGGACCGTTTCCCCGTGGGACCGTTTCCCCGTGGAACCGTTTCACTGTGGGACCGTTTCCCCGTGGGACCGTTTCCCTGTGGGACCGTTTCCCTGTGGGACCGTTTCCCCGTGGGACCGTTTCCCCGTGGAACCGTTTCCCCGTGGAACCGTTTCCCCGTGGGACCGTTTCCCCGTGGGACCGTTTCCCCGGGGGACCGTTTCACTGTGGGACCGTTTCCCCGTGGGACCGTTTCCCTGTGGGACCGTTTCCCTGTGGGACCGTTTCCCCGTGGGACCGTTTCCCCGGGGGACCGTTTCACTGTGGGACCGTTTCCCCGTGGGACCGTTTCCCTGTGGGACCGTTTCCCTGTGGGACCGTTTCCCCGTGGGACCGTTTCCCCGTGGGACCGTTTCCCCGTGGGACCGTTTCCCCGTGGAACCGTTTCACTGTGGGACCGTTTCCCCGTGGGACCGTTTCCCTGTGGGACCGTTTCCATGTGGGACCGTTTCCCTGTGGGACCGTTTGAATGTGGGACCGTTTCCCCGTGGGACCGTTTCCCTGTGGGACCGTTTCCCCGTGGGACCGTTTCCCTGTGGGACCGTTTCCCATGTGGGACCGTTTCCCCGTGGGACCGTTTCCCCGTGGGACCGTTTCCCTGTGGGACCGTTTCCCCGTGGAACCGTTTCCCCGTGGGACCGTTTCCCCGTGGGACCGTTTCCCCGTGGGACCGTTTCACTGTGGGACCGTTTCCCCGTGGGACCGTTTCCCTGTGGGACCGTTTCCATGTGGAACCGTTTCCCCGTGGGACCGTTTCACCGTGGGACCGTTTCCACGTGGAACCGTTTCCCTGTGGAACCGTTTGAATGTGGGACCGTTTCCCCGTGGGACCGTTTCCCCGTGGGATCGTTTCCACGTGGAACCGTTTCCCCGGGGGACCGTTTCCCTGTGGAACCGTTTGAATGTGGGACCGTTTCCCCGTTGGACCTGCTGGACTCTGACCCAAACGCAAGTGTTGCTATAGTGCAAAAAAAACAAAACAACAAATACAAAATGTTTGTAACGCATCTTTAAAATAAAAAACTGAAATAATAACACAAAAATATTATTATTAACATTAATATTAATATACCTACTAACAATAATAATATTAAAAACATAAAGAAGTGTTTGGTTCCAGCAGCCGAGCTAACTTGTTTCATTCAAGTATCTCTCAACAAACACACACACACACACACACTCCTCACTGCAGACTTCAGAACAACACAGAGTGTCTCCTCCTCCTCCTCCTCCTCCTCCTCCTCCTCCTCCTCCTCCTCCTCCTCCTCCTCCTCCTCCTCCTCCTCCTCCTCCTCCTCCTCCTCCGTCACTGAAGAAGTAAACAGATTGAAACCGAGGAAAGTACAAGCAGATGGAACACAGGAAACAAGTTGCATAGTTTGAGATCTTCCTGTTTGCAGTTTTTCAGGCACCTCGTCTCTCTGAAGTCCAACTGTCGAAGCAGTGCCTGAACGCCTCATAAATAAGCCTTGCTCCCTCCATTTGTAACAAAAATATATTAGATTTTTTTTTCTTCAGTTTTTTTTTTTTTTCAGAAAGTGCCATCAAGACCGGTGGAGTTTCACTCAGCGAGGCAATGGAGGAAGAAAGGCCGTCCCTCGCTGCCTCTCCGGTCCAGTTTGCTCCGCCTCGTTGGCTTTGCGTCATTACGAGCAGCCGCACTCCTCCACGATCATGTTTTGGATGTCCTTTTTCACGATCTTGTGCTCCTCGTTGTAGTAGAGCATGGACATGGCCCGTAGCCGGGTGGGCACGCAGCATGACTTCAGGTTCTGGAAGGGGCTGTAGCCCTTCATGCGGTAGCGGTTGATGACGGTGGAGTGGAAGGAGCCGCCGAAGCTAGACATGTGGAAGGGGCACTCTCCCTCACAGTAGTTGGCGTGGTAGCCGTTGGGCGCGATGATCCAGTCGCTCCAGCCGATGTCCTTGAAGTTGACGAAGAACTGTCTCTTGCAGCAGACTCTCACCTTCCCGTCACACTCCAGCCCACGCTTCCTCCGCCGCCGGGAGTCCGCGCTCTCCGCCTGCCGCACCACGGCCATGAGGAAGGGACGGTGGGACTGCTCCCTCTGGTTGCCGCGCTGCGACTTCTCCGAGCCGCCGGAGACCAGGACGAGGGTGGCGCCGGTGTCGCTGCAGAGCGGGCAGGTCGCCCGCAGGCTCAGCGTGGGGCTTCCCTGGCTCTCCAGCAGCGCCTGCACCGCCGAAGAAACGGGGAAGGTGTGCCAGCCGCTGCGCCGGGTGTCCACGGTCTTCTCTGCCAGGAGGACGTCGTCCTGCGAAGGATCTGGGCGTCCGTTTGTGAGCAGGCGCTGCTGGAAGAGGCGGATGGTGACCTTGGTTTTGCTGCGGTTGGATTTAGCTAACCGCAGGAAGAGCCAGACGTTAGCTTGCTCCACCAGCGACATATCGCCTCCTTCGTTGGAGAGGACGAAGTTGACCACGCCCTGAGAGTCACCTGAGGAGGACAGGTAGAGAACAGGGTTAGTTTTTTAACTTTTTGTGAAATAAGTTCCCTGTTCTGCGCTCTGATTGGCTGGACAACTGTTTAACGGGTCCGACTTGATGAGCAAAACATTCTGATCCTTGATTTATGGCAACTAGAGCAATTTGAACCTCAAACTACTGGTTGCCATGACAACAAACAATCAGTTTGTTCACACAGTGAACACCTCCCAGAAAGCGAGCAGCACGCACTCATCATGCGTGAGGCCTCTGATTGGCCCCTTCCTGCTGACTCGGCAGCAGCGGTCGGAGTTAGCAGGTTTTTATAGCAGCTAATTGTTGCCACCAGGAGCTCTGCGGTCTTTACTCTCAACCTCCTGCTTCTGAAGAAGAAAACCTGCATTATTCAGATAAAGGAGGAAGACAACGCTGCATATTAGCAGATATCGCTAAGGATCTGGTTGATCATCAGTGTTCTGACCAAAGACGGAGATGTTGGTCCATCTTTTAGAGCGATAGAGGAAGACATCCAGGAAACGCTTCCTGAACTGAGGTCTCTGTAAAAGCCTCCTGCTCTGTTTCATCGCTCTGCCTTTTTTTTTTTTTACTGCTGCTCCTCTACTGTTTGCTCACTCTGACACACACGTGCTGCAGCTTAATGTTTCCGTGGAAGCTGGGGGCCAGGCGGCGAGCTGACATCCACCCTCTCTCCGCTCTGCTTCGTGGGCTGCAGAAAACTAGAGTCACGATTTTCAGTTTATGAATGTGAGCAGCAGGGATGCTCAGCTAACGGCGTGAATGGGTGAGAGGAGGCAGGCGGTCGGTCGGAGCATCTGAAGTCACCGTCGGAGGCGATTATCTCGCTTAGATCATCGTCACCTCCTGGAGACAGAAAATAAAGAGTCCTGATCATTGATGAGAGCGTCCTGCCTTATGAGAGAGGGCTGCATCAAGGCTGCAGAACCTACAAGTTCTAAAGCAGAACCTAAAGTTTCCGGTTCTGATGCAGAACCTACAGGTTCTGCAGGTTCTGCAGGTTCTGCATTAGAATCTGCAGAACCTGCATCAAGGCTGCAGAACCTACAGGTTCTCCATCAGTTGGTTCTGCATCAGAACCGGAACCTGTAGGTTGTGATGCAGAACCAACTGATGGAGAACCTAAAGTTTCCGGTTCTGATGCAGAACCTACAGGTTCTGCAGGTTCTGCATTAGAATCTGCAGAACCTGCATCAAGGCTGCAGAACCTACAGGTTCTCCATCAGTTGCTTCTGCATCAGAACCGGAACCTGTAGGTTGTGATGCAGAACCAACTGATGGAGAACCTACAGGTTCCGGTTCTGATGCAGAACCAACTGATGGAGAACCAACAGGTTCCGGTTCTGATGCAGAACCAACAGGTTCCGGTTCTGATGCAGAACCAACTGATGGAGAACCAACAGGTTCCGGTTCTGATGCAGAACCAACAGGTTCCGGTTCTGATGCAGAACCAACTGATGGAGAACCAACAGGTTCCGGTTCTGATGCAGAACCAACAGGTTCCGGTTCTGATGCAGAACCAACTGATGGAGAACCAACAGGTTCCGGTTCTGATGCAGAACCAACAGGTTCCGGTTCTGATGCAGAACCAACAGGTTCCGGTTCTGATGCAGAACCAACTGATGCAGAACCAACTGATGGAGAACCAACAGGTTCCGGTTCTGATGCAGAACCAACAGGTTCCGGTTCTGATGCAGAACCAACTGATGCAGAACCAACAGGTTCCGGTTCTGATGCAGAACCAACTGATGCAGAACCAACAGGTTCCGGTTCTGATGCAGAACCAACTGATGCAGAACCAACAGGTTCCGGTTCTGATGCAGAACCAACTGATGCAGAACCAACAGGTTCCGGTTCTGATGCAGAACCAACAGGTTCCGGTTCTGATGCAGAACCAACTGATGCAGAACCAACAGGTTCCGGTTCTGATGCAGAACCAACTGATGCAGAACCAACAGGTTCCGGTTCTGATGCAGAACCAACTGATGCAGAACCAACAGGTTCCGGTTCTGATGCAGAACCAACTGATGCAGAACCAACAGGTTCCGGTTATGATGCAGAACCAACAGGTTCCGGTTCTGATGCAGAAGCAGCAGGTTCCCCATCAGGTTCCAGAGCAGTTCTGTTGAGTTCCTTTTAGAACCATCTGCTGATCTGAGATCAGGTCAGGAGCTGGTGGGTCCAGGAGGGACGTCCTCTAAAGGACGCTGTCCAGGACGCCTCCTGACCAGATCAACCACAGCAGCCTTAGATAAGGAGGAGCAGTGGTTCCCTCCAGATGACGGAGCTCCTCTCTCAGGCTGAGTCTGGATGTTCTCCAGAAGAGTCCAGCATCTCCTCTATTTTGGTTCTGATCCATATTTTAATTTAAAAGATCAGAATATATAAGGGAGCAGACCACCTGTGGAGGCATCAACAGAACCACACCCTCTTCATCCTGGGTGTTTGGAACAAGGCAACCTCCTTTCATCCTGTCCATTTGGACCAAAATCACAAGACAGGATGAGCTCAACCTGCAACAGGAGGAAGCTGAAATGCAGACCAACTGTCCAGCTGTGGTTCCAGAGGGTCATCATAGGCCTATAAAGACCGATTAGCCCATATAAGGTATGAAAAACTACTTTAAAGCAGATTTTATAGTAACGTGAGAAATAAGGAGCATACGACCGCCTCTCGGTTCTGCGTTCTCTCGACCTGTGAGAAGAAGCCTCCGCTGATGGAAACCAGCTCACTGCCTTCTTTCACTGTAGGATTGCAAATCATGTGTTTATACGATCTGCTGTGTTTATAATGATGAAAATGTTTCCCCTGAAAGCTGGAACCTTTCGAAAGGTCTGGATGAGCAGCTTCTCCTGCCTCTCATGGCTCAGAGGGAACAAAACTTCAAACTTTCCTTTTTGATAAAGCTTCTAGTTAGAGTGGCTCAGGTTATCCTGATCTATCTCTATAGTTCTGCTGCTATAGGCTTAGACTGCTGGAGGACATAGGGACCCCTTTTTCATCAGTTATGCTCAGAGGTGTCAAAAGTACTTATGTTTATTACTCCAGTATAAATCCTACTGTTTAAAAACACTTTTGTAAAAGTTAAAAGAATCAACTTTTTTACTCCACTAAAAGTGTAAAAGTACTTTAAAGCGACTTAAAGTGTAAAAGTTAAGGCAGAAGCTTTAAACCTTAATCTGCATTATTCTGTCGATGGAACATTTTTCTACAATATAATGTTCTTAGTTTTTATAACCAATGGTGTCAAACTTAGCTTTGCATCATCTTGAACATATTTATTTTAGTATGTGGTGAGAAACAAGTTGGGGCAGCACCGAGTCCAACCACAAAGACATTAATTTTCTGGATGAAACTAAATATTTTTATGGTTTTTTAAAATACAGAGCAAAACAAAAATAACGAGACTATTTTTAAAATGTAAGGAGTAGAAAGTAAAAAGATGTCTAAAAATAGTTACTCCAGTAAAATATAGATGGGCAACATTTCTACTTAAGTAAGGCAACCAAGGATTTCTAGTTTGTTTCTTGACATGTCTGGTTGTGCTGCTATAGGCTTAGACTGCTGGAGGACATAGGGACCCCCATTTCATCATTCTGCTTCATTCTATCTCTATTCTCCCACTCTGCAGAATCTGTTAGTTCAATCTCTAACGTTCTGCTCTCTCTGCTTTTCCTCATAGTAGCTTCATCTGGTCTGTTCCTGTTTGGCTGTGACTCCATCCTGGAGAGAAATATCAGCTGTGCTGCTGCCATCAACACCTTTGTTTCTAGATGTTGGAGCTTGGCCTGTTTTCCAGTGTAGTCCTGTTTCTCTGACTGTGACTAACTGGATGTGCTCTCTTCATCCTCTGACATGGGAGCTGGCTCGGAGCTCGTCTGAAGCTAGTTTAGTATTAGCTTTTCTAACATATTTTCTATGTTGTTTTCTGTGTCTGCTTCTATGTCCTTGAACCCCAGTCGGCCTCTGCTGATGTCACTACATGCCCTTCTGTGAGGAATAAATCCTGCAAAGTCAGTGATTGGATAGAATCAGCTGGTTTTCCTTTAATCTGATTCAATCATCTGTGTAAAAATCCTTTTTATAATGTGTCAAATTGGCACTTTAAAATGAAATTGAATTGAACAACTGGACTGCTCCCCGAAAACAGGGAGGAAACTCCCTTCGGATCTGTTATGCTGGCAGGAAGTAATGAAACATGAAGTATAAAGGAGACCAACCCAGAAGTCCATAAAACTCCGTCTGACAGACGAACAAAAGAAAAGCAGACGGTTTGACTGAGTAGGAGATCCAAACATTTTTCATATTTTCTCATGATGTACTGCTCTGACTTTAATGAAAACAATCTGCAGAATGCATCCCATAATTGTCCGTCGCTGTGGGGAATGTTGAAGCCGCTCCAGATGCAGATTCTTTGATTGTTTCTCTGAATCGTTAAAATCATCTGCAGCTCTTTGTGGGAACAAGTACCAACGAAATAAACAGAAAACTTTCCAGAGAAACTGCAAGTTCTCCACATGACTTCAGGAGGAGAACTTTACTGGAGGAACATGAAGAACGCTGAGGACTTCCTTCTAGAGTCAAACGTTCTAGAAGTTCTGTTGCTGCTTTGCACCCAGAACATGGTCACAACTCAACCCAGTTTAAAGTCGTAGGGAATTCCTATTTCAATGTCAAATCATTCTGGCTTAAACATTTATATAAATGTTCTCCTTATCAGAACATATTGTCCCAAAATTTAGAACATTTCTATAAAATAAAAATCCTCTCCTAACATCTGTGTTTTTTTCCGTTATCTTCTGCAGGCCAGTTAGTTCTACGTCAGCCTGAACACCTAAATTCGGCCAATCATATATCAACGGTCATCTGTCAATCAAATGTTTTCAGTCATAGCATCTTGATTCATGTGTCGCAGCTAATATACGCAACGGTTGAAACCAGAATCCTTTCCTTTCCCATTGAGTTGCGTCCCAGTGT